AATATTTTCAAAACTCCTGAAATTTCCACTAATGTGACGCACGTGACACATTTTCTCTTAGCGTGGTATCATCCCTATTTTATCTCCCCCCCCCCGAAAAGGTAAAAAATGAAGTGTAAATTACTGTATAAAATTGTTATTCCATAATTTTTATAGACTTCAATTTTGTTTGGTTACAAAGCTATCGAATAGAAAATCAGACTTCTCCTGCCACACCCACCTGTCACATCCATCCTCTCTTTCAGAATTCGTTGATAGTTCTCTCTAACATTTAATTATATATTATGTGTAACTAATAAAAAGTCAAGGTTTTCATCTATCAAATGATGTATAACATTATGTTAAATGTCATTTTCACTCAGAGTACCAGTATTGTTCCTATGGAAAAGTAAACGACTAGCTTGAATGAATTTGGAACGGCTCTTGTCACATAGTTAGAAAGCAAAAACAATTTTGATGTAAGGGAATTTGTCTACATTTTGCATGTTATTAGTCTATATTCTTTGGTGCAATATTTAATTAAATAAAAATTATTAAGTGCATTACCATCATTAGTATAAAAAGTTAGGGTTAACTCTCTTCAAAACCCAACAGCAAGAAAAAAAAAGATTGGTTAAGTATTTTATTTCTTGTTTATTCTTTATGTATAATTATAAAACCATTAAAATGTAAAAATATTGATCCTTTTTGGTTTGTTAAGATTAGATTATGTAAAATGATTAATAATAATAATATGATAAAAATTTCATAAGGCTCACACGTGAGCAGCTCGTGAGTAATGTAATTTGTTAGCGTAAAGTGAGCTGCACATTCCCTGAGTGACACGGTTCAAAGGGCAATAAAACTTGATTATAAATAGATGTATACTATTACAAACTTAGAGCTACTTTGGAATTTAGTTTTATGTTACAATGTGAAGTCATTCTAGAAAGAAAAAAAAAGGGTTAATTTACATTTCTTTCTCTTTTTTTTGTATGCCCAAATTGCCAAACCTTGTATAGTGTTACGGTAAGGAAAGTAACAGGTTTATTTCGATTTTTTTATGGTGGTTAAAAGCATAGTCGAATTGATCGATTCCATTTTGAGATAGGGTAGAGAAAATAACAGAAACTATAAAGTTTTACTGAAATTAAACGTTTGAAATGCATTTAGGAGGTTTTAGAGATTATACAAAGGAAATTTTTGAGATGAGGAAAAGTATTTTTAATTTTAACATTAAAATTACTTTGCACGCGGACTATTCAAAACAAATGCTTAATATATTCATGAACAAATCTTTATTTTATTTTATTAAAAATACTTCACTAAAAAATATGATTTTTTTGTATGTGAAAGACTTATAATATTAACTGAAAGACTGCCAAATTTTGTGAAGATATACACATTATATTGAAAACTAGAAGTATTAAATCTATAAAGACTTTAATCGAGTACAAAGAGGTCACGTGGTTGGTCAGATTGACCGAGTCTGTGTTGAGAGAGTTAACTTCTTCCAAATATATATATATGTTACTTTGAAAACAAGTGAAGTGAGTGCTGTGCATTTATCATTGAATTTATCAGCAACAAGTCACAGACATCTATTGTAGAAGAATCCTAAGCCCAACAACAACAGTATATATTTATACTATTAAGAAATACAAGTAAAAGCCTTTTATTTTGACAATTGGAAAGATTAGATTTTTTGACACATACCTCATGAAAAATTTTATTATTATTATTTATTTTACTTAATCTAACCTAAAAAGTTTCTAATTTTTACATTTTAGTTACATTTATAATAATAAATAAAGAACACACATGAAAAACAAATATAGTACCTACCTGGATCTTCTTTTTTCTTTTGCTGTCGATTAAGTTAACCCTGCCTTTTTATAAGAGTGGTGCTACTCTACTAAATAAATTTTTATTTAATTAAATATTGCATTAAAGAACACAGAATATTAACATGTAGAAAACAGACATTGTCCTAAAACTCACAATTTTTCTGGCTTTCTAACTATGGGACAAGAACCATTAATAACTCAGCTAAGCTTGTCAGTGTGTTTCCCATGGAAATGAAGTTTGTGCTGGAAGCGAAACAGACAATTATCTGTACAGAAAAAAATGTAATATAAGATGTCAATTGATAAAATATAATTTTGGCTTTCTGTTGGTTATAAATAATATGGTATTAAATGTAAGAGAGAACTATTGTCAATTTATGAAAGAGAGGATATGACAGGTGAGCAAATATCACAGTTCTCATACTTGGGGAAATTTAAATTTGGATTATTAGCTACATTGTAATGACAAGTTTATTTGTATACCATGATATTAAAGTACCTTAATTAAATTTTAAAAGTAATGTTGTGATGTGTACAAAAGGATGCCCATGGTGAGAGGGTTAATAAGATTAAACAATTATAATATTATGTGATTTGTGATTATATCTGGTTAGAATAATTCCTGGTCATGATATGATCATAAGATAAAGTACTCCCCCCCCCCCCCCCCCACGTTCAACATGGTTTGACTTGTCATGCTACTCTATTGCATTATGCTGAGTTTTGTTGCATTAGTGTAAAATACATTTTTTAAGAAAACTGAGGAATATTGTTTGATAATGATTCATTCTTTTAACTTGTTTGTATAATTTTAGTTTTAGATTTGTCTATGATGCAAGTGCTTTAATTAGTTTTGTTGAAAAGTTTTGTTTTTCACAGTACTGCTCCACTGTTTTCATTTTAAATGTTTTTAATACTTTTAATATGTGAGGTTTGCAATTAATTTAGCTGTTCATAATGTGCCTCCTTTCTTTATTATTATATCAATATCAGGAAATACCAGGAACAACTGTAATTCATTTACTATTAGAATCAGTATAACTTAAATACTCTTTGTTCTATTCTAATCATTAACTGGCATGTTTGTTTAACTGTATCTACTGTAGACCGATGCATTTATTAACTCTCGAAGACTCAAGATTTATGCCTTACTAGCTGGTGCCCTTGTTTGGCAATCATCAGAGGTTCAAGTGAACTGTTGTGAGGAACTGAATTGGAGGAGAGCATTAGCTGTACATCTGTGGTCAGTTACTAGAATTTTTCTTACTGAAATAAAGATGTGCTAAAAGTATAGGTCTTTAATTTCTGGACCTGGTGCCAGTTTGTAACAATCCTTCAGCAAATATGTGGTTGAAACTTATTAAATTTTAAATTTACACTTAGTGAACTGTTAAATCATATTAATTGTTATTCTAAAGTGCTGATGTCATTGTGTTTATGTTCTTGCTTATATATATTAAAAATAAGCATATGCATTAGGTGTTCAAAGCTTTCCTACGAAACACACACACACATGCACACATACAAATTGATTATGTACAGTAGAAGAAAAAGCTACATGAGATACTCCTGCCTAAATATCTCCATTAATCTTGGATATTTCAGTAAAGTTGAACATTAACAAACCTTGTCACTTGCAGGAATTTACCAAAATATTACCTTTGGTGTTTAGTTGTGCCGTTCATCCCATATTGTTTTGAAACTTACATCAATGACGCCTTAAGTATAATATGTTTTTCATGGTTTCAAAGAAAAAATATATATATGTCATTAAAAGTAATATAGATAGCATTTAATTTATTAAGGTTATTTCTGTACTCCTTGAATAAATTATATACAGCTGTTTTAGAAATACTTCAGTATGTGCAATATAAACCTTAACAATCTTGAAATGTTAAACAAAATTATAAGAATTTTTAAGTATTGCAGTTGACCAACTTTCCAGTGGTGTAAATTGTTCTATTATAAATTGTAGTTGATAGTTAATGATCTTACCGTTCATTTATTTAATGTACAGAGATTGAGTACATATATTGAAACAAAATTGGAGTCCCACAACATCATTATTGTTCATGTCACCACATATGTTTATGCTCTGTCTAATGACTGTGAATATCCCTGAAGTATACATTGCAAAAGACTCCATCATAAGGCTGTCAAGTCCAAAGTACATTGCTTTTATTTGATTGCTTTTCACAATCCATCTAGTGTTCAAAGCAGATGGTTTCCAGCATCCATTTCAACAGTCTAATTTTGCTGAAATCCATAGGTGCTGTATTTGGGTACTTTATAGGTGTGTATTCATATGAAATAACATGAATACTCATTTCATTATCCAGCTTCTTAATGTATGCATTGTTTGGATGAATGGTGTAACTGGAAGTCTAATCTTGGAGAACGCTTATCCCGCTGGCTGTTGTATATTGTTACCTGGGGCACATCAACAACTTTTGCTACTTGAACCTTTTGTTTTGGGATTCTCATCTGTCACAAGGGACTGCTCTTTGATTTCCATGGGTGGGATACAACTTATTTCAGGTCTGTTACTGGATGGTCCAAGTCTCCAAGTTGATTCATATTCCTTTGTTTTCAAATGCCATGAATTCAAAGGGATAGCCCCTGTCATGATATAAAAGACTGTTTGGTTTAACTATTAGTGATTAATTTATTTTTGTGAGCGAATATTTTATTATTGTTTAGTTTTTGTTATAATAAGAGTTAAAAGCAGACGATTGTAGGAAGTTGTGTTTATAAGTCATTGATGTTGAAACTATCAAACATCGCATGCAATACATTAATGTTGAGAATATAGAAGGTGGACAGATGATTAAGTGATAAAGATATAAATAGCACGAGATGAGTGGGAAGCAGCAAATGGATAATAACAGAAGAAAGTAAAGTTACAAAAGGAAAAGTTTGGTAGGAAGTTAACTACTGTAGAAGTGATGGGCTTAGTGATTAACATAGGCCTACCATTTCATATGTTAGAATAAGACTAACAGTAGAAACAGAGATAAGAAAAGTAATTTAATCTGTCAAAGCGTGGTTCTTAAGTAACTGAATCAGGCTGAATGCACTTTGACAAAAGGAACAGAGTATCTTCAGAAGAAAGAAGATCAAATGATTATTGTAACTTGTGCCACAATTGTAAGTGAATCACACAAAATACTAGTGCGATAATGATAGAGAAGATAGTTCAGCTTGTCACCTGAAATTCTAAACTAATGGAATAGGCCTAAGTAGACTTTTGACAAGGAGAGAATTACATATGTAGTGTTTATGATATGCCTATAATATCTATAGTGTGAAGACTTTGTTATACATACTTTTAACTTGTTCTGAGTGTGTGTGTGTGTATGTATATATATTATCTGATAACAAGTGAAATGCATGCTGTTTATTTTTTGTTGAATATATTGCTAACAAGTCACAGACGCCTACTGTAGAAGAATCCTAACCCCCAAAACAATACACTATGTATATTTATACTATTAAAATGTATAAGAAAAATCCTTTTTATTTTGACAGTTGCGAAGATCAGATTTTTAAATTCTGACAACCCCTCTTGGAAATACCAAATACCTGATCTAAATACATCTTTACAATCTAAGTGTATGAAGGTTTTGTGCTGAAGAAGACTGTTAAATTCTCTTCTTCAAAGCAATCAATTTTTGGTGGGATTGGACAACCTAAGAAATCCAAAGCAATATTAAAGCATAGTTTGAAATGTGCTGTTTCACCACACATTTATATCAGTTGTGATGCTCCTTGATTTTCCGATTTGCTTATTCAGTGTCATGTTAATATAATGTACTCAATCTTCTGTGATAGATATTAAACTAATCATTGGTATTTCAGTGTTTTTGAACATTCAAAGAGACTTATTAAATGTCACATTAATTCAAAAAATTTAAAAAGTGTTACATAGTTGAGTTTTTGGGTATTGACTGTGAGATAGATGCACATAGATATTTATGGTGTATAATGGGGAGCAGTGAGTTTGAGTATCAATGTGAAATTTAATCTCCTTTAGGTATCATTGTTCTCCTGAAGCTGGTGTAGCCCAGGCTGTAGCAGATTATGACAAAGCCTTTCAGGTACTTTGTATTACTGCTTTCAGTTTTGCTTTGTGTTCACTTCCATATTTCTTTGTCAGTTTTATGTTTTTATATGATATTAAAATATATAATTTCTTCCTTTTCTTTAATTATGGTTAATAGTTCTGTGGAATACAAACTTAAATATTCCATTTCTGATTATAAAAAACATTTGCTCTTGATTTCCTTGAAAGTCAAGGAAAACAACTAAAGAAATATTGAAAAAAACAATTACCCAAGTACTTGTAGACAACATATTTCCTTCTGATTATTGTCTCATTTGTCACATAAAATTGTATAAACTGTTTTATTTTGTTAGCAGATAGCTAGAATTTTTCTCTGCCACAAAACTAGTATGCAGTATAAACAAGTAGGGTGTGGAACTTCTCACCTGAACTTCAAGAGCATGTGTTAATGATAAATACAAGTTTCTTAAAGAACAAGTCTGTGTATTATATCCACTCTTGTTAAACTTGTGTAGGGGGAGAGTAATAATGAAAAATATGCTAAGCCACCGTTCCCTCCATACATCGAGAATAACATTTCACAACTCTGGGACATCATGAAACCTGAAGAAACATATCAGTTGTATGATACCTGTTACCATTTGCTGAAGTTGTATTGTGATAGATCTCATCGGCTAGACCAGTTACTGTCTCCCACGACATCGGTCTCTTCCCACTTGGATTACAGACTTAGGTCAGTGAATTGCTTGTTTCAGTCATAGTTAGGTGATGAGATGTTTATTTTTTACTGTAATTTACTTTGATGTAGAAAAATCTGTTATTCATTATAAAGCTCAATTTTGATTTGCCTTTGAAATATATTTCCTAATTCTCTTGTTGTTTTCCAGGTTTGGGTTGGGCTTTGACTAATCTGTTCAATTTTAGATGCCTTTTACACACCTGAAAGTAATTTTCTGTGTCAAATGTGTAGTTTCGTCCAGTATGAGTTTTATAAAACTTGAAACATTACCTAATTTGACATTATGAAGTAACAAAATGTAAAATAGAGTATATAAAAAAAAATGAAAAATAATTGTTAGTTTTATACACATACACAAACACGTACCAGCAGTGTTTTATGATAACACCATTATTTTAATAAGTCTTATGTGCACCTTCAGTATGAGAATAATCAATTTAACACTTAAAAGTATTGAAGCTATTATAATCATGCTAACATAATGAATCAGTCATGTAGCACTAAAGATATATAAATCACTTAAAAACAGATTGTTATATTTCCATCTAACCAGCAAAATTATTCTCTGCATTACCATTTTAGTTGTAAACATCTGTTTTTAGCTGTTACTATTTCAGTGTGTGTCTTGGTTAGGTAACTTCAAAATCAACATCACTGTTTTTGAAATATAGTTTTTTTTTCAAATTGTAGAAACAGGAAAGCAAAGCTGGTCTAGGTAGCCAGGTATGATGCTGTAGCGTACACGAATATGATAGTTGTCGGTTAGAAATAGAGTAATACATTTTTGTGAAAGTCAGCAGATGTAGCAGGAAAATGATGTTATTTTTAAGTTTAAAAGAAGCAGTCTTTTCAGAATTGCATGATGGTTGTTAAAAATAAAAATTATTATGGTCTTAGTCCTTGCAGTGACATATTTGTTCCTTTTCTGTATCTGATTTGTGTTAATGGATTCTGTATACCTACCATGACTTTAATGATACAAATGAGTGAGACAGTCAAACAGTTGTAAATATTTGGACCTTGAACTCCATTTAGTTAGAGCAGTTCCTCTTGCAACAATAAAAGAATGTAAAAAATGCTTATTGGTAGTGCAAAGTGTAGCCACTATCTTGAAGTCGCCACTTTAGTTTATTAGGTTTGACACGTTTATGAGATAAATCTAAGTTTGTTTATTAAACAGTATTATAACAGATTAGACTAATAATGAGAATTTCACTGATACAGGTTTTGTATGTAATGGGGTCTTTTATGTGACTCAGTCAAAATTTAGTTTTGAGTAAATTGTGATACTTGAGTTGGTAATGAATTTTAAGGCTAATAGAATCCTATAATATTGGCTCTCTTTATCTTCACTTAGTTATTTTCAAAGCCTGTGTTTTTAGGTAAGAAATTTCTGAAAGATTGTTGAATAGTTTTTCATAAAGTCTCTTCTCCTAGCATAGTAAATATTTTATTTTTCTTGTGTTCAAGGATTTCAGAGAGCAGTTGCTAAGAAACACCTTATTTAGATGTATGAAACTATTTTATGTATATATATATATATATATGTGTGTGTGTGTGTACACTTATGGTCTAGTTGTAATTCTTTTTGGAGCTCATGTTGTCATAACGTTTTTTCTTTGTTTTGTGTTATGTATTTTTATCAGCAGGAATTCCTCATTGTACATGCTCTTTTTCAAGGTTTCTGATCTTGAAATTGACAGTTTTACTAACTATTCCAGCTGGAGGATAACAACAGTATTTATTATTAAAAAAAATAACTCTTACAGCTGCATCTATGAATTTTGAATATTATCATAGTGTTTATAAAAAATAATTTAGAAACTTTTACAATGTTCATGGTATAGCTTGAAATGTAGTCCTCATTTGGTCATCATGTGATAATTATTATCCAATAAAAACGGATATGCTCCATATTACATCTCGTGTGATTAACTGGTTGGAAAGTTGAAAAAATGTATGTAAAAGCTATACGAAGATGTACATGTATATAGCATTTTTTAAAGGTTTTTGTTTGATTCAATATTATGAGAGAATAATTATATAGAAGACAACTTAATTCAGATTTGCTTTATTTGTGGAGAATGTTGACAGTTTTTCATATTGTATGCTATTTTATTTTTTGCAGCTGGTTACTTTTTGCTGTTCTTCAGGCTTTAGGATACACACACTTGCCATCACATGCCACTGCTGCCCTGCACTGTAATTTTGCTGCACAACTGGAATCTATGGGGATGTGGGAGTGGGCAGCTTTTGCACTTCTTCATATTTCCCATTCTGCGAGGTAAGTGTTCTTACAACTTTGTTAAATGATTTTCATAAACAACAATCAAAATGTGTTGCTATTGTATTATAAGTGAAACTGTATTACTGAAAATCTTCAGATGTAATCCTAGCTGATTCATTTTATGCTGACATATGATTTTTGGAACGTTATTCTTTTCAAACTTAGTTTTGTAAAGAGTATAAACTGTTTAAATATTTAGATGTATTGCTTTAGACTTTTGTCCAAATTTTGATTGTATTATGATTATATATGAATTGTTATTTAATGAAATATTTGCTCTTTCCACCATTGACATTATTTAAAATAAATGTTTTTATTCAGTGAGTAGTGAACACAAAGCTGGCTTTACAGTTAGACATATGAGTAGCACTATAATAATTTTCTTGATTGTTTCGATAGTTAAAGCCAATAAATAAGTTTCTGTAATGCCATCCAAGCATAGCTGTTTGCCATCTGACGTAAGCTTTTTGATAAGTGAGCTTCAAATTAAGTTTGATACTTCATGATTAACCATAGCTGTTTGTACCTGCAATAAATGTAAGTTATGATACTTTTAATGTTATATAACAATGATTCTGTAAAACTTTAAAATGCTTGGTGTTTTCTAACAAAATTGAGACAAAACTCTTATTTGTAGTTCTGTGTGATTTAGTACTTTGAAAGACTGAAACTTAAAAAATGGTTTTGTGATTTTTGAAATACAAGTGGAAGAAACAGACTTACTGAAGATTACAGTATTTTAATCATAACTTCCACTACCTACAGGAGACAGGCTTGTGTGAAGGACTTGCTGATGAAACATGTTTCTCTGGATCAAGATTCTGAAAATGAAGATAGGGAGATGTTCCTACACACAAAGCTGAAAATTCCAAAGGAATGGATCTATGAGGCAAAGGTATGAACTTTTCAAAATGTTGTTAGTGTACTAGAAATTATCTGTATGATAATAAGATAAATTTACCTTCGTATCAATTAAAAAAACTACAAGAATACTGGGATGTTGGTTATTGTAATTGATAAAAACGGTTAAGATAGAAGGCTTAAACCAGGTAATATAGATATTGAGTAAAAGATTCAATAATGATACCTATAAAAGTTCATTTGTTTTAGCAGAAATTAAACTAATAACAATGCCAAGTTTTAAAAGAAATTTATATAAAATCATAAAAATTCTGAATTTAAAGAAACCATAACAATTCACAAGCATTCTTACTTTCTTGTTGGCTTTGATATCTTGCTCAAAAGCATAAATTCAACAGATGGAACTTTTAAAGTTTTTATTACTAAAACTAAAATTTTGTGTATGAACATATGAATTGCTAGAAATACATGAGTTGGATAGTATCAGACTTTGATACATACAAGAGTGTAATTGTTCAGCAGTTTTATATTTAACATTTTTCCACCCATCACTCTAATATGCATTACTTTCCTGAATCAATGATCCTCAGTTTGCCTCTTGTTGATGTTTGGCTGATTATTTTATTGAATTTTGTAATTTATTCACACCAGAATTCAGTTAGCAAGATGGTAATTATTTTTTTCGATGCATAGACAGTGTATGGATAAGTCAGGAGTATTGTATGCTTTACTCTGATATGCATTACTTTCTCAGATTCATGATCCGTGGACAGAATGGGTTGAAAATGTTGTTTTGATCAGTTGACATAATTCCCAAGTGAATGCATACATGTTTTGAAAATCCCTGGTAATCTAAGTAGCTGATATTTCATCAGCACTAAGGAGGTTGCAGTGAGAAAGAAGAGATGTATTAAGTAAAGATTTTTCTCTGACTAAACTGCCATCATATTTTATAACTTAGTGCTTCTTGTAGGTTTGGTACCTCTGTTTCTGAATTGCATCAGATGATTATAACAGTAAATAGATTATTTCTAATTTATTATCAACTGAAGGATTAGAAAACTTTTTTTTTTTTCATGCATTGTGTTTCAACAAAGCCTAGGAAGATTAGTGTTAAATATAATATTGTAATTTGAAACATTTGTGTTGACTAACTGTTACTGAAACATTTCTGTCAGTTTGAAATTTTTTTATTACATGTTTGGATATTAAAGACAATGTACAAAGTATAAAGCTGGGTAAATTTTTGAGTGTTAAGTGTTATTAGTGAGTTAAGATTTTCTTTGATATGATCTCAGAAAAAGCCATGTAGATGTTTTTCTAAGTAATAATTATTTCGCCAATGACAAAGTTTACCGGTGTTTGTTGCTAACCAAATGGACAATTCCATAAGTTATGTAAGTTATTTCACTTTGTTATTTAGTTAGTTGGATGGTTGCTAAGGCTTGTCCTGATTTTTTCATTCTACTGTGATTTACTGTTTTGGGTTGGGTTTGGTTTAGTGGTTAGTGCACCAGACTGCTTATTATAAGATGTAAGTAGCTGAACTTGGTCTGAACTTCAGGTTTTGGGGCACGACAGTCCATCCTGTAACTGAATTATGAGCACCTGTGTAATAGGTGTCAGGTGCTGCTGATTGTTTGCTTTCCTCTTCTTGTTAACACTTTTAGATATTAGGGATGGCAGTGCCTGAATCTTGGAGGCCCTGACTTGTCTGTTTATCCCATGTGAGGCATAAAATGTTATTCGGTTTGGAAATACACATACTGACCTACTTTTCAATTGAACACAATGAATGTGTTATATAATGTTTTCATATCAGTGTGTAACAGTATGCACGTCCATTATTATGGTTGTATAAACATTTGTTTTGACTGTAAAACTGGTTGAGATGTAGATTTAATGTGTAGCTTGTCTTTTATTTACAATATATGATTTTACATTAACTTGTCTAATATGAAAAGTAATGTTTACACTATTTTAAGTCTCAATTTAGGTGATACAAAATAATGTACGAATCATTTCACATCTAACGAGTAAAGGAGTTGTATCAGTATTTGGAAATCATGTATAAATTGTTAGTTATTCATAATTGTGAGACAGTTTTTTTCAGTATTTAAAAGTTTGTCATAATTATTGAATGTTTTTGTCTCATATGTTTATAAATTACACAAATACCTAAGGTTATTAAACTGAGTTTTGTAAGTTATTCCAAAAGACACACAAGTTTCATAATCTCTGTTTTGATATATACAGGCAGTGAAGTCCCGTGCCCTGGGAAATCCTCAGAATGAAGCTTGGTATCTAATGATGGCTGGTGAGTGGAGCAGGAGTCATGACATTGTTATCAGTCAACTTGCTGCAGATGCTATTATTAATGGTAAGAAAACATTGCTTTAATTTGGAACTATTGGTGATGATCTCTGGGGTGTAAACATTATTGTGCTGAAAGGAAAAAGTTCATAAATTAATACTGATGTTATTCTTTTACAGTGTTGTGTGTGGATGTTTAAAGTATTGGATTTGCTTTCTGTTGATACCTGAATGTACTCCTCTGGAACCAAGCTTTATTTGTTGGATTAGCTTTCTGTTGATACCTGAATGTACTCCTCTGGAACCAAGCTTTATTTGTTGCATTAGCTTTCTGTTGATACCTGAATGTACTCCTCTGGAACCAAGCTTTATTTGTTGTATTAGCTTTTTATTAATTCTTTCAACACAGGCTCAGTCCCTGGGACTAACCTCATAACCATTTTGTGCTTGTTATAGTTTTCATGCTTTAACTTTTAAGTTAGTAAGCGAATGTTAATGAAACTTGGCAGATTATCAGTAAACGTTACGATGCTTTCATACGCAAAATATCAAAGCAGTGTTTTTCTCATGTCTATTTTTTCTTTTTTTGCATGTTGCCTATCTATCATTGCAAAGTAATATGCATTTTAAGATTAAAAATACTTTTATGCATCAGAAATTTTTGAAATTTCACATGCAAAATCTTTATAGTGTCGAGATAGTTATCAAACGTTTCTTAAGAAAAAAGTTTATATTTATCTGTTATTTTCAGTAATTAATCTCTGTATCGGTTCGGTAGATTGGACTG